AACTCATTAATAATGGTTATGAAGGCTGCAGCACACTGGGAAAATGTTTATCATGTGTTATGTAATAACAGCAGGACCCAAAATTGAATTTATACTATAATTGACTTCCACACAAAGATATGTGTGGTGGAAAGGGCTGGAAGAAATACAAACGAAATGATAATATTGATTATATTAGAAAGGTTATTGCAAATATTTTTTTCTATTTTCCAAAATTTCTAAATTGGTCATTTACTTAAATGTGTTTAAAATGTGAAATTTAAGCTACCCTAACAGTCAAGGCAGTGGTGAGCCCAGGCAGTGGTTCACTTGCAGGATGCACAGTGATGGGTATACTGTCCATCTTCGATGTGAGAAGATCAAGTTAAGAGAAAGCTAGATGTAGTATTTCCATGAAGATGGAGTCAGCATCTCCAAAAAGAATGAAAACCTGAGAAACGTTCTTTTTGTGCAAAGAAAAAGAAATGTACATCAAGGACAAACATTCCTCCACCAGTAGAAGCCTAAGACCTAGCACTTCAGAGCTCCAAGGCAGGTGGGGTGAACTAAGGGAGGGGTGGATTCCACTTATCAGTTCTGGCCTCTCCCTGGTGATACTTGTTGTTAAGTCACCTTTAGAAGTCTGTAATCTCCCTAATGGAAAGGCAGAACCCATTCTGAAAGAATAAAACAGTTAATATGAGAAGGGATCAGGACTTAAAGAAAGAGGTAAATAATTACCTTGTTTGAGTGCTTTGTGTTTTTAAAAGAAAGTACAAACAACTTTATAATTAATAAAACATGATTAACAATAATGGAAACTATTAATAATAATGGAACATGTCCTCAATTTCAAAACTACATCATTAAAAAAAATGACAGTGTCTTCACAATTATTCAACTGTACCAAACGGATTAAAAACAAACTCAGGCCAGCACTGGCCTCTTGTGCTTTGGTGAAAGTGTGGCATGCCTTCTCTAGATCAACAGGCAGTCCTTACGGATTCTAAAGATCAATCCTGGAGCTTATATTGGTTAGAAAGGCGATCATAACAATAAGATTTCTAGGTGGGAAGACAAATGACGAGGCAGAAAAGGTCCTTCCTGAAACTAAGAACTCCAGAAGGCACTTAGAAAGGATCTTTTGGAAAGCAAGGTTCTGCTTATTAGTAATGGACCTGCTGATTATCTAGTTTTTTTTTTTAAACAAAGTATCCCTTGGCTGCAATTTTGTTGATTAAATACACGTGCCCCCACCAACCTGCTTACCCAAAGACATCTTCGGTATCTACTTGACAGGTTTTGAAAGGAGATCATGAAGGATTATTCGGATTACTTTCTGGTCACCAGAGTTCAATGTGTTATATACACTGGGCCTAAAAAGTGTCCTACATATTTTTGGAACATTTCATGCTAACATACTCATACCTGTTTTTTAGCCCATCTGTAGGTGTTACCCACATCTTGGGCCATAGCAATAAATAACATTTTCATAGATAAGATAAAGTCACAAACACTGGAGAATGAGACAATGTCACTAATCACTTATTTATTTTGTTCTGTTTTATTGGTGGTACAGGGATCTGAATCCTTGACCTTGGTATTATAACAAGTTAGAAACCCACTGAGATCACTGGCCAGCCTCTCTAATCACTTATTTTCATTCCAAAAAAATTTTTTTTAGCAGCTGGCTGGTACAGGAATCAAATCCTGGCTCTTGGTCTTATCAGCACCATGCTTTAACCAACTGAGTAACCAACCAGGCCTACTTTTAGATGTGACCAGCCACACATGTGAGTAAAAACAACAGAAGAGAATTTAGTGTAAAACTTAAAACAAAGCTAATGCATTTGATAATCATAATCCTTATCATCTTTTTTTTTTTTGTCCTTTTTGAGACCGGCCGCACCGTGATCAGCCAGTGAGTGCACCAGTCATCCCTATATAGGATCCGAACCTGCGGCGGGAGCGCTGCCACGCTCCCAGCGCCACACTCTCCCGAGTGTGCCACGGGCTCGGCCCAATCCTTATCATCTTTTTTTTTTTGTCCTTTTTGAGACCGGCCGCACCGTGATCAGCCAGTGAGTGCACCAGTCATCCCTATATAGGATCCGAACCTGCGGCGGGAGCGCTGCCACGCTCCCAGCGCCACACTCTCCCGAGTGTGCCACGGGCTCGGCCCAATCCTTATCATCTTTCAAAGTAACTAATCGTGAATGGTAAATAGCTCACTATCTTATCAATATCTAATTGATATTGTTCTTATGCCAGAGAACAATTTTTCTAAGTTGAGGAATTTAAAAGAAGAGGATTTCCTGGGGCAGGAAACTGTTTTGGTAGTTTCTGAGGAAATAGAAATGTTTAGAAAAGAATGGGGTGGGGGCGGTTAAGAAAGAGCTGTATCAGACCCTGAGGAAGGGTAGTCGGAGAAGAGGGATAGAATCAGAACAGAAGTGGTCACAGGCAACAGGGGCAAGCTGCAATAAGAAATACTGCAGACAAGTGGGGGGCAGCACATTTCACAATGAGGACACCATCTGTGAACTTGAAGAAGCCATTTCAGTAGCGTAAGGCAGTGAGAGACCTGATGTATTTGTTCAAGTATTCTCTGAGTGCCTGGAGTGTGGCACTGGTCTAGATGGTGGGGACCTGGTAGTGAAGGACCGATTGCAAGAGTTAAGGAGTTAGTAGACTGTAGGACGGTTCGTTGGTAAAGCTGGAAGGAAAAAATGGAGGTAGAAGGATAAACAGGGCAAAGTGAGGAATTTTATTTCAGGAAGTAGGAGAACTGAGTCAGCGGAGGAGACACTGAAGATTCATAGTCAGCGGAGGAGACACTGAAGATTCAGGAGTAGGGACATGAAGGAGACAGGAGGTGACAGGCTTGAAATCTTTGGAGAGGAGGAAAGAGGTTTATTCTTTGGAAAAAGAAGCAGAAGAAGAAAGAGGCACTACCTGGAAAGACCCTCTGGTGGGAGGCTGGGTGTGTGGGCAAGACAGTCAGTCAGAGGTGGTCTTCTCTGCCAGTTTCTGCATCGGTAAACGGGGGAATAACACCTGCCCCCGAGGGTGTCTGCATGGATTAAAACAAGACATTATGGTTAAGGCCCTGAGCAGAATGCCTGGTACACGGGAACCCTCACTACTGCAGCTTTTATTACACTCAAGAAAAGAAAAACTGACCGGGAGAAGAGTACAAGTGGGTTCATGGCCCTAAAGTCAGGGAGGTTTGGAGGGCCAACTGGCAAGTTTGGGAGGCCTAGGTGGAGGAAATCAGGACAGTGGCTAATGAATGAATTCTTCCCCTTAGCAAGACACTGGGAATGGGGGTGGGTGATGGAGAGGGAGCAAAGGAGATGTTCCAGGGCCATTAACCCTACCTATTCATTTCCTCACTAGCTATCCCCAGGCAGCATGCTGAGAAGTGTGATTAGGGAATGTCTTGGTGCCCCAAATTTCTCCTTAGAGATTGTCTGAAATTATAGGAACTTAATACGAACTAATAAATAGATAACTCTGAAGAAGGGACATGGAAAAAGGCTATCACTATTCCATACTTTATAGTGAAGCAGCCAACAAATTAGGTTTAATAAAAACTTGCCAAGATGCCCAAGAAGTGAGAAATCTCCTAAATATCACCTGAGCAGAGAGGCCGGGCACCACTGGGGGCAGAGGCAGAGCTGTGTCACTCACCAGTGAGGGTGGAGCTGCTGCTCCCAGGGTTCCAGGGGCCAGGGAGTCAGGATGGCAAGGGACAAGAAGTGGAATAACAGACCTGAGAGCAGCTGGGAAGATGAAATGCAGGTAGGAAAGGTCCCAAAGAAAGCAGAAAGGCGGTGTCGAAACAGAAGAGTCCAGGGTTACATGACACATAAAGGAGAGCCTGTGAGGCAGCTTAGCAAGAAGCTTGCCACTAAGTTTCCTGTATTCCTTCAGAGCCTCTCTTTGGGTTTTGCCTCCCTCCTCCCGGAATCTCACACAGCATCTTTGCTATTTAAAATAGACAGTCAGAAATGGCAGACTTTCAGAAAATAAAACGAACCTGGAAGGAACTTCATACATTCTCTCTCTCTCTGGCTTTTTTTTTTCTTTTTTTGCGGCTGGCTGGTACAGGGTTCTGAACTTTGGTATTAGCACCACATTCTACTGTGTGAGCTAACTGGCCAGCACACATGATCTCTCTGAATCTCATTTTACAGTTGAGGAAATTGAGGCTGAGATGGAAGTGACTTGCTCAAGGTCACACAGCAAACCAGATGTTAAACCAGAATTAGAGGAGCCCTAGAATCCTGCCTTGTGCCCTGCAGTGCACAACCATCTGCTTAATGAAACTTACAGCTCACTGAAGCTCCTGCACATCCACAGAACACAAAGCATGACTCCTCCTTTGTGGAAGTTAATGATTAAAACCTAGTCTGAAATAAAGCATCTTAACCATAGTTACTAATTAAGCCAATTTCAGTGAGAAAAAACATTTCAAACAGAAGAGTGGAGTTTTCTCTTAAGCTAAATCTATAAACCTTCAAATTGTAGTAGCATAAACCATACAAGTACAATATTTCAAGTACACTTAAAAAAATTTCATAATACAGTACCTTAACCTCTGTAGCTTTACGTTTTCTCTTCATTGAATACCACATGCTGGGCCCTGATAAAATGGTTTTGTAACTTTTGGGGGGAGGAATTTAACTAAAATAACTTCACTTAGTGTTTGAGTGAGCTAGGTAATAAAATCTGTTTGCTGTGTTCGCTGTCTCCAAATAGGGCTGTAATTACACTACATAAGGAAGAAAGGTAGCTGAGTCTCAATCTAGATCATTTATGTAAACTCAGCCTTCTTGTCAACGGTGTTCTCATATTGCGTGCATACAAACCACAAAAATCATCTCCTATGAACCACACAGAGACAGTGTCCGATTGCAGGCCTGTGAGATTGCTTATATTCACTCTGTAATTGGATGTCTGTGGTTCAAGACCAAAATTTGACATTTTGAGGTTAAAAGAAAACTCTCACCAATGAATTCCCCAGTACAACAATTATATTTGTGAAACTTGTAAAAATTGAAGGTATTATCTAAACCAACTATTACAAACAAATACATTTTACTTGAGAAAAGCTGCTTTTTCCTTAAAAAAAATGTTTGGTTCTTTGAAATTTGTTTGAAAAAAAAATTGATAATCAAGAAAGAAAAACAGGCAATTCCTAACAATGAAGTTAACATTTGATAACATTTTAATCTCCTACTTCAAATATTTGGCAACTTTTCAGCAACTTTTCTAAAAAAAAAGTTACAAAAACTGTGAAGCACAAAGTATATTCATATTGTATCTATAAATACAGAGACATAATTACAAGGTGACAAATAAAGCATATTTTTCTTAATTCTTTGAATTATTCTCCATTACAACAAATTGGTCACTGGTTTTTGATTTGACAGTCCTCCCTGGCAGGCATTGATGGTGTTCCTCTTGAAACCTGCAGCTTCCAGCTTGCTCTGTCCTCTCTAGAAGGAAAACCACAGGCCACCGCCCTGGCGCCATCCCTGGCTCGGTCCAATCAATAAGGACTTATTTCCTGTCCATTTGCTGAGGTCACAGGAGCAAATCTCATTAATTATTTCTGCTACTGCAGCCTCAAGTGTGCTTCTGGCATGACAAGTGGAAACTGCTTGACCTTTTTTTCTTCTAATTTTGTCTGTAGCAGTTTCAAAAAGAAGATAGTATTCATTTAGCAATGTGATAAAAAGAAGGAAAAAATGTATATGTTTTTAAAGTCATTACACATTTAGATATTTCATCATGAAGACTCTCTCGATCCCCTCATTCCCTAGGTTTTTCAGCCTGTGAACAATAGTGTCTTTTTAATTTGGTGTCATGAAAATCTGGTCACCGCAAACACAATGTTTTCTAAAGCAGATCTGGCCTCTGAGGGAGGAAAGCTCTCCAGGGCCTCCAGTGCCTTGTTTCCATGGTAACGACACAGGTCAATAGCTGAAGTCACACCTTTGCCAGCTTTGATTGTTTCTCGCAACTGTTAAGAAACAAATGCACGATAAAAGTCAGTTTTTAAGGTATGCAGTAAGCACCACAATTAAATTGGGGAGGGGAGGGGAGGTGGAAACAAAGAAAGAAAGAAACAGTATAGGTTCGGTATTTCTGCTACATTATTTTGAGGAAAAGAGGACATCATTCCCCAACGATCTTGAGGCACTAACATTCCCTAAGGCTGCTCGATGTCTGAGCTCCAGAGCAGCACAACAGGCTCCAATCAGCCTAATTACACCTCCTCCCGACTCCCACCCCTCGATATCTTGATATCTTGAAATGTGCTCGGGGATGGTGGCAATGAAGGCGGGAGGGCATTTCCAACTCTGGCATTTTGAATTCAGCAGCCTGAAATTCTTATGAGAAAGGCTTCAATTACATCTTAGCTAATCACTTTTTTATTTTATACACCATATGTTGACACCATAGTCCATATGAAAATTCAAGAAAGATACATATAGGTAGTATTAGATCTGAAGCACCGGTCATCCCTATATAGGATCCGAACTGCTACATTTTAAAAACTAAAACATTTTATTTGACTGGGAAGACCAAACAAAAACATCCTTTGTAAGGAATAAACTCTTGCTGACAAACGAAGTTGACTTCCAATCTCTCTCTCTCTCTTTTTTTTTTTTTTTTGTCCTTTTTGAGACGGCCGCACCGCGCGCTCAGCCAGTGAGCGCTGTGAGCGCACCGGTCATCCCTATATAGGATCCGAACCGGCGGCGGGAGCGCTGCTGCACTCCCAGCGCCGCACTCTCCCGAGAGCGCCACGGGCTCGGCCCCCAATCTCTCTCTTTGATGATGAGAAAGGAACAATAAAATGGTTACACTTTAGAGCTAAAAAAATTCATAATTATTTGGTCTGCCCACTTTCCCTTGCCCAAGTTCCGTCTTCTCTTTCTCAGTGAATGCCTTAACTGTCTGCCTGATTCCCTAAGTCAGAAACCTGGGAGTCCTCTTCATCCCCCACATCCAGTCTGGCACCAGGGCAGTCCCAGGGTTGCTCACCTGTGACTAAACTTTCTGGCCCTCAGAGATCAATCGGGTGGGGCCAGGTGACAGATCTACTCTATGAGATGTGAATGCTGCATGTCACTTCTGGGCTGCAGTGTTTAACGCTTCAGGTAAGTCCCTCTAGAGCTTTCCCTCTGGCAGGTCCACCAGCCACATTGGAGGTGCTCCTCAGCCTACATCCCTGAGTGACCAAAATGAGCACACCATAGTGCCTCTCCTACCTGCAACAGACATGTAGTGTGGGCAAGAAACCCAACTTTGTTGTTTTAAGCCACCAAGATTGTGAGATTATCTGTAGCCATTTTGACTGATAGAGGCAATAAGTCCTAGTCATTCTCTTTCAGTGCTCTCAAATTTATCTTTTACTCTTCATTCCCACTGCCACTACATTAGTTCAGGCTATCATCATCCCTCGCCTAGGTTATTTTTTGCAATCACCTCCTAAAGAGTCTTCCCATCACCAGTTCTGCACCCTTGGACTCCATCTGCCATGCCATCAAGGAGATCTTTATAAAATGCAAATACGATCTTGATTAAAACCCTTCACTGCCTTCCAATAGCTTTAAGAGAAAAGTCCAAGCTCTTTCATGAGGCATTGAAGTCTCTCTCCAATCTAGTTCTTGCCCAGCCTCATTTTCCCCCGCTTTCCCCCTTCATCATGTATTTAGGGGAACTAGTTGCAGTTCTCAGAGTTGACTTACCATTTCCCCCTCGGCTGTCCTCCCCCATCCCCCACAAGCCCTCCAGATTCCACCTGGGTGAAATGCACTCAGCTAGGATGACGGTCCTAAGGGGCCAAGTGCCCCTCTTCCTCTGGGCTCCTGAAGTACTCTGTGCACATCTGGAGTACAGCATTTATTATATGGCGTTGTATTTTAATTCTCCATTCACTTACCTATCTCTTCATGAGACTTTAAGCTACTTATTGCATAATGTATGAAACATGAATGAATAAAAGAAATAAACTGATATATTCCTCTAATTATACAGCTGAGAATAGAGGTCCAGAGAAACTCAGTCACTTAAGATCACAGATGAAAAATGGCAAAGCTGAGATCAGAAGCCAGGCTTTCTAGTACCTTGTCCAGCGGCACTTAACACTAAACTCCATCAGATTCTTAGCATTCCACAGACATCTCCACACTGCATATGACCTTGGGTGTATTCCAGCCTAGGTTTCCCTGGTTTCTTGCCAATCACTGAATGCATGAAGGCACTGAAATGGTACTGAGTATCAGAGGAAGCCAGATTCAAACTCCCATTCTAGCTTTATAGTCTTAGGGATGCCATTACCTACTGTTGAGAAAATAAAATAATTTAATCAGGCCCTCTTGCCTTAGGTCTGGTTGGGGGTGGTGTGGTGCATTCTTTGTAAGCAAACTATGTGTGGAGGGGAGTGGAGTTAGGGCGCATGTGCAGCGCGGCCACTTGGCTGGTGTTGATTGCCTTGGTTGTCTACCACGCGTGGCCATGCTCTCCAACCTGTGGCTTCCAAGGACCTGTTTGCTGGTTACCTAGCTCACAGGCCTGCATGTGAGGGGTCTGGTGACCCAGCCTGGCATGTGAAGGGTTGTGACCCTGCCTGCAACGGGCTTGAGGGGTCTGTGAGCTCCAGACAATTGGCCCAATCAGCAGGATTACGGGCAGGTAAAAGAGCTCTACACCTACTTTCAGTTCTAAATGGGGATAATATCAATCTCTTGTAGGAATGTTGGGGGGACTACATGAGATAGTGCAGAGTACTTGATAGCATCTAAATCATCACTGATTCTCAAATGACTTAGTTCTCGCTCCTCAAGCCCTTAGCCATTGCTAAGAAAGCCATCCATTCCACCAAGATCAAGTCTATTTTGGCTTAATACACAACCTTAAAGGTAGCTGGACTTAGATCAGAGCAGTCTTACAGATAAAGAAGAAATAGAGAGAGAGAGAAAGAATGAACACTCCCCTATTTGCATTCTTTCACCTCCCCAAATCTAGATTAAACAGACCAATATTCACTCTCCTCCCATTCTAGACTTCTAAGTTGATACCGCAGGCATGTGGATATCTGCATGACTAAACTAGATGTTCAATTTACAAGTATTAATTGAGCACCTACTGTATGTAAAGAGTAGAATGATCCTTCTCTATGAATCAGGAGCTAATTAAGGGTAAACTGTGAAAAGCAGCAAACGGAAGGCACAAATGTAGGACTATTGCTGTTGAGAGGAATGAAAGAAGGCCCTACAGAGTAAGTGAGGTTTGAGATATGTCTTATGAATGTTGATAAACAGACATATGGGGTCAGGGGCAGCAAGGGGATTGTAGGGAAAGAGAACAGCTTGAGCAAAGTCACAGAGGAGACCAAAGAGTGCAGAGTGCCCAGGGAATGAAAGCATTGGTATGACACAGCTTGCAGGGGTAGGAGTTAGAGGACCCAAGGAGGCTCCAAAAACCAGGCTAAGACATTTGTGGTTTTTTTCAAATTTTTTATTATAGAGTTAAAAAAAAACAGGCTGGCCAGTTAACTCAGTTGGTTAGCACACAGCCTTATAACATCAAGGTCACGGGTTTGGATCCCCATACCGGGCAGCTACCAAAAAACCCAGAAAAGTTGAAAGGCTGTGGCTCTTAGCTAAATCTGTCCCCTGTTTTTGTAAATAAAGTTTTGTTGGAACATGGGGATGTCCATTCATTTATGTATTGTCTATGGCTGCTTTTATGCTATAAGGACAGAGCTGCAAAGTTAGACTGCATGACCTGTGAAGGTTAAAATACTTACACTTTGGCCTTTACAGAAAAAGTCTGCTGACTACTGGGTTAGCACAACGAATGGCCATATATTCTCTACCTAGATTCAACAATTGTTAATATTTTGTCATTTTTGTACTATCCACAAGTGTGTGTTCTCTGAACCACTTGAACGTAAGCTGCAGGCAGTGTTATACTGGTAAATTAGCTCAGGATTGGGGGCGGGCGGCGGGGTAAAAACCGTAGTTGTAGCATACGCAGACGTTTGTGGTACAAATACTCCCATCATGGCTGATTTCAAGTTACCAAGCGTCCTGGGATGACAAAATTCTTGAATATTTAACAATAAGTTGAGTTGTTAGGACTTGGCTAGGGCATGTCATTGGCTGCAGGATGCTTCATCCTTGTTTTGATATGTATCTCCTAAGATAAGAACCTTCTTCTATATAATCACAATACCATTATCACAGCTGAGAAAGTTAACTAGAAAAGTTAATTAGAGAATTCCCTAATAATATCTAACATCTAATCCATGTGCAAAATTCTCCAATGGTTTCCAAAAAAAATGTTTTAGCCATTTTTTTTCAAACCATGATCAATCCTACTTCATACACCACATTTGTTTGTTATCACACTTTAATCTTTTTTTCCTCTATGACATTGTCATTTTGAAAGAACCAGGCTGTGCTGTAGAATGTTCTACATTCTACATTTTTCTGATTGGTTCACTTACTTTGTTCCTCTATGAACTTTTTTCAGCAAGGCTCAGCTGAATATTTGCTTTGGCTAATAGGATATTTAATCCTATGATGATGGGCAATTCAGATAAGGGCAAAACAGAAATCAGGAGGATATCACTGAAAGTTACTCAAGTCCTAAAAGTTATTTTCTCTCACACAATGAATATTTGACTCTATTCAATACTAAAATCCACAGAGTTGGGCTCACAGGGCTTTGCATACATAGTAAGGGATCTGATAGCTTTCATGTATAAAATGCCCATTTCATGACTCACCAGTAATATAATCCTTCTTGGAAATTATTATTCCTCATAGATATCTGTAAACACTCCTACAAACTAAACATAAACTACTGGCTCAAAGGAAATCCTTTAGATATAACTAATAAACCATAAATGAAACTCATTTTTACTGTAAACTAGAATAGGTAATAGAGATCTCAACAAGAATGATCTTGATATCCTTGTAAATAAATGTGACAAAAGACACATTA